ATAGTAATTTCCAGTGCTGTAAGCGACTTAGAGATGTGGAGTGGAGCAGAGCGGTGGGAATATGAGTGTATATTATTGTATTGTAGTTTAGTGTAGTTAGATGTAGTGAGTTTATTGTAGTGTATTCTAGTGTGGTATATTTTGTTGTGTCGCAGTGTGTTGTATTCTATTGCAGTGTATTCTTGTGTAGTGTTGTGTTGTGTTGTGTGGTGAAATGGATAAAAGTGTAGTGAACTGGAGTGGAGTGTAATGGAGTTGAGTGTATTGCAGTGCAGTGTGGTGCAGTGTCGTGTTGTGTAGCGTTGTTTAGTGTGTGTATCTTAGTGTGGTGAAGTGTGGTGTAGTTTCGAGTGGTGATGTGTTGAGCTGTGGAGTGGAGTGTAGTTTTGTTTAGTTCAGTGTTGTGTAGTGTAGTGAAGGATGAGGAGCAGTATGCTTCTATTTGTATTTGATTGATCGCTGAACACTCCCACGAATTCCATTTAATCAAATATCTGTGTGTGTTGATTTCAGATGGTGGCGCTGAAGACAATAACCTACGTAAGTCTCTGGTGTTCTTCAGGTCAACTGCATTCTTCACAGTCTTCATCGGATGACCATCCACTACTTCCTGTTCTCAACATCGCCGTCAAGCATTCACTAACTCACCCACTGAATCACTCATTCACACAGTCACACACCAGCTGAATCAGTCACACTTTCAGTCAATCACTGACTGCTTCCCTCGAACACTCAGTCGATACTTCATTCAGTCAGCCAGTCGGTCAGGCAGTCAGCCAGTCAGTCAGCCAGTCAGTCAGTCATGTACTCTGAGTGATTCCGCTCCTCTCACTGACAATATCGGAAGTCGATGATTTCGTTAGGTATTTTACTTCATGTGTATGCATCTAGGTTGTTTGTGTTTCATCTGTGTTAGTGAGTGAGTGAGTGAGTGAGTGAGCGAGCGAGTGATTGAGAGTAGGTGGGGGTGTTTGTCTTGGCTTTTGAGGCAGTTTCGACATCGATTTGCATAACTCTATCATTATGGATGTGAATATCCTTGTTGATGTTGATGTTGGTATTGACATTGTTATGCGAATAGAGTCGTCGATTGATCTACAGATGGCTACGTGAATAGATAGATGGAGAGGTAGATAGTAATTTCCAGTGCTGTAAGCGACTTAGAGATGTGGAGTGGAGCAGAGCGGTGGGAATATGAGTGTATATTATTGTATTGTAGTTTAGTGTAGTTAGATGTAGTGAGTTTATTGTAGTGTATTCTAGTGTGGTATATTTTGTTGTGTCGCAGTGTGTTGTATTCTATTGCAGTGTATTCTTGTGTAGTGTTGTGTTGTGTTGTGTGGTGAAATGGATAAAAGTGTAGTGAACTGGAGTGGAGTGTAATGGAGTTGAGTGTATTGCAGTGCAGTGTGGTGCAGTGTCGTGTTGTGTAGCGTTGTTTAGTGTGTGTATCTTAGTGTGGTGAAGTGTGGTGTAGTTTCGAGTGGTGATGTGTTGAGCTGTGGAGTGGAGTGTAGTTTTGTTTAGTTCAGTGTTGTGTAGTGTAGTGAAGGATGAGGAGCAGTATGCTTCTATTTGTATTTGATTGATCGCTGAACACTCCCACGAATTCCATTTAATCAAATATCTGTGTGTGTTGATTTCAGATGGTGGCGCTGAAGACAATAACCTACGTAAGTCTCTGGTGTTCTTCAGGTCAACTGCATTCTTCACAGTCTTCATCGGATGACCATCCACTACTTCCTGTTCTCAACATCGCCGTCAAGCATTCACTAACTCACCCACTGAATCACTCATTCACACAGTCACACCAGCTGAATCAGTCACACTTTCAGTCAATCACTGACTGCTTCCCTCGAACACTCAGTCGATACTTCATTCAGTCAGCCAGTCGGTCAGGCAGTCAGCCAGTCAGTCAGTCAGTCATGTACTCTGAGTGATTCCGCTCCTCTCACTGACAATATCGGAAGTCGATGATTTCGTTAGGTCTTTTACTTCATGTGTATGCATCTAGGTTGTTTGTGTTTCATCTGTGTTAGTGAGTGAGTGAGTGAGTGAGTGAGCGAGCGAGTGATTGAGAGTAGGTGGGGGTGTTTGTCTTGGCTTTTGAGGCAGTTTCGACATCGATTTGCATAACTCTATCATTATGGATGTGAATATCCTTGTTGATGTTGATGTTGGTATTGACATTGTTATGCGAATAGAGTCGTCGATTGATCTACAGATGGCTACGTGAATAGATAGATGGAGAGGTAGATAGTAATTTCCAGTGCTGTAAGCGACTTAGAGATGTGGAGTGGAGCAGAGCGGTGGGAATATGAGTGTATATTATTGTATTGTAGTTTAGTGTAGTTAGATGTAGTGAGTTTATTGTAGTGTATTCTAGTGTGGTATATTTTGTTGTGTCGCAGTGTGTTGTATTCTATTGCAGTGTATTCTTGTGTAGTGTTGTGTTGTGTTGTGTGGTGAAATGGATAAAAGTGTAGTGAACTGGAGTGGAGTGTAATGGAGTTGAGTGTATTGCAGTGCAGTGTGGTGCAGTGTCGTGTTGTGTAGCGTTGTTTAGTGTGTGTATCTTAGTGTGGTGAAGTGTGGTGTAGTTTCGAGTGGTGATGTGTTGAGCTGTGGAGTGGAGTGTAGTTTTGTTTAGTTCAGTGTTGTGTAGTGTAGTGAAGGATGAGGAGCAGTATGCTTCTATTTGTATTTGATTGATCGCTGAACACTCCCACGAATTCCATTTAATCAAATATCTGTGTGTGTTGATTTCAGATGGTGGCGCTGAAGACAATAACCTACGTAAGTCTCTGGTGTTCTTCAGGTCAACTGCATTCTTCACAGTCTTCATCGGATGACCATCCACTACTTCCTGTTCTCAACATCGCCGTCAAGCATTCACTAACTCACCCACTGAATCACTCATTCACACAGTCACACCAGCTGAATCAGTCACACTTTCAGTCAATCACTGACTGCTTCCCTCGAACACTCAGTCGATACTTCATTCAGTCAGCCAGTCGGTCAGGCAGTCAGCCAGTCAGTCAGTCAGTCATGTACTCTGAGTGATTCCGCTCCTCTCACTGACAATATCGGAAGTCGATGATTTCGTTGGGTATATTACTTCATGTGTATGCATCTAGGTTGTTTGTGTTTCATCTGTGTTAGTGAGTGAGTGAGTGAGTGAGTGAGCGAGCGAGTGATTGAGAGTAGGTGGGGGTGTTTGTCTTGGCTTTTGAGGCAGTTTCGACATCGATTTGCATAACTCTATCATTATGGATGTGAATATCCTTGTTGATGTTGATGTTGGTATTGACATTGTTATGCGAATAGAGTCGTCGATTGATCTACAGATGGCTACGTGAATAGATAGATGGAGAGGTAGATAGTAATTTCCAGTGCTGTAAGCGACTTAGAGATGTGGAGTGGAGCAGAGCGGTGGGAATATGAGTGTATATTATTGTATTGTAGTTTAGTGTAGTTAGATGTAGTGAGTTTATTGTAGTGTATTCTAGTGTGGTATATTTTGTTGTGTCGCAGTGTGTTGTATTCTATTGCAGTGTATTCTTGTGTAGTGTTGTGTTGTGTTGTGTGGTGAAATGGATAAAAGTGTAGTGAACTGGAGTGGAGTGTAATGGAGTTGAGTGTATTGCAGTGCAGTGTGGTGCAGTGTCGTGTTGTGTAGCGTTGTTTAGTGTGTGTATCTTAGTGTGGTGAAGTGTGGTGTAGTTTCGAGTGGTGATGTGTTGAGCTGTGGAGTGGAGTGTAGTTTTGTTTAGTTCAGTGTTGTGTAGTGTAGTGAAGGATGAGGAGCAGTATGCTTCTATTTGTATTTGATTGATCGCTGAACACTCCCACGAATTCCATTTAATCAAATATCTGTGTGTGTTGATTTCAGATGGTGGCGCTGAAGACAATAACCTACGTAAGTCTCTGGTGTTCTTCAGGTCAACTGCATTCTTCACAGTCTTCATCGGATGACCATCCACTACTTCCTGTTCTCAACATCACCGTCAAGCATTCACTAACTCACCCACTGAATCACTCATTCACACAGTCACACACCAGCTGAATCAGTCACACTTTCAGTCAATCACTGACTGCTTCCCTCGAACACTCAGTCGATACTTCATTCAGTCAGCCAGTCGGTCAGGCAGTCAGCCAGTCAGTCAGCCAGTCAGTCAGTCAGTCATGTACTCTGAGTGATTCCGCTCCTCTCACTGACAATATCGGAAGTCGATGATTTCGTTAGGTCTTTTACTTCATGTGTATGCATCGAGGTTGTTTGTGTTTCATATATTTGATTTGGTCGAAGATCGATTTATTTTGTGATACAAGGAATGAGTTAGTGAGGGAATTTTGAGCGATTATTGGTTTCTGTGATTTGCTTATTTTTGAGTTAGCGTTTCTGGGCATAATTATATTCTTATATGAATGGATATGAATATGGATATCTTTGTTGGTTCGACCGTTGAAAGTGTTGTTGATGTTGATACTGACATGCGAATTGAGTCTTGGTTTGAACGACAGATGCCTACGTGGATAAATAGATAGTTAGATATATCGATGGATAGTTAAACAGTAATATAAACGGCTCAAAGCGATTGAGATTTGTGGTGGAAACAGAATGTAATTGAGTGTATTTGCGGTTGGTTTTGATAAGTGATTGTTTTAGTCGATTTTACGACATCTGTTTACTTTCAGAGACATATAGTGAGATATATAGATAAATTCGGCTAGGTATTATATTTTACTCGCCGACATTGGGTTCATATTTTGTGGAATTTAAATTTAGTTTGTGTTTTTTCAGTTAATTTTCGCCTTGTTTTTTTATTTTATATTATTTTGGTGATGTTTGATGTAGTTTTGATGTTTTGATGTGTTGATCAGTGGAATGTGGTGTAGGGAAGCTTGAGAAGCAGTATGTTTCTTTTTGTTTTCTTTTGATTGTTAAACACTCCGAGGAATTTCTCGAAATTATATATCCGTGTGTGCGTTGATTTCAGCTGGTGGCAGTGAGGACAAGAATCTGGGTAATTCACTGTCCTTTTGTTGTTCTTATTCATTTTATTTGTCTTCTTTGTTTATTTACATGGATACTTATTTTTTCATCTTCCATCAGATTTTTATATTTATATATTTTCATCTGTGTAATTTCTTCTTATATGCCTTGATTTTCTGACGTTTCGAATTTCGATATTTTTGCTCTTTTTTGGGATGTCTTTGTCTCAACAGCAACCACTTGAATCTTATCTGAGTCATTTCCCTCCATAATATTTTCAGATGCTGCAAAGAAGTTCATCGCTGACTGTAAGAGCCATCTTTGTTTGCATTAAATTGATCTTCCCTTCTATGCATTTGGCTCTTTACTGACAGTCTAAAAATATCCCTTATTATGATTTGATAAAGGATATCTCACTCCGAATGATGTACTGGATGGTTAGCTTCATTTCTGCTCAACAGATTTCTCACCCACTGCCCAAATCTCCGTCATGATTTTCTTTCTATCTGTTGTCCAGTTTTCGTTAACAATGACCTGTCACAACTTTTTTTGTGAGGTGCGTCTCACATTCCACTACCGGCAGTAATAGACCTCAGTTTACAATAGCTGCTGGTTGTAGACTTTCTGAATTTATGTGAATAATCATTGTTAGTCGGTGCCCACATATTTCGGTGGCCGACCATGTACATGGTCCGAGGTTGGATCCCCCGCCAACGTACACCTGATATCTAGGGTCGGCCTGCAAATTTTTGGCTGCCGATATCCATGCTGAAAATTCCATACTTGTGGAATCAAGCTGTAATCAAAAATAAAAAAATAAAATAAAGAGATTCTCAAGTATTCAAATGGTTGGCTGTCAAACTATAGGATAACTTGGTACCATCGACGCGTACAATTTTCATGAAAACTCAGAACAGCAACTGTGCATTGTAGAAGGATCAATAATGCCATGACTATTTTCAGCAGAGTAGGCATCTCCTCACAAAGTTGACTGATCAAAAGCAGTTTTACTTCGAAGTAGTCAAATGCATTGTGACATCAGTTCAACTTTTGATTAGGGAGGTTTCTTGTTAGTACTTTTTTGGACTTCAGGAATAGTTGAATCTGCTAATTATCTCATTCCGTTCACCACATCTTCAGCAAGAATCAAATATTCCGAATTCCAATTCATATTACAGGAGAAGTTGATTTGTGTGTATGTGTGTGTTTGACTTGGTCACTTATGAAGAGTTAATTAAATAGATCGAGTGAAATTTTCTCTCTCTGTTTCAGATGATCCGCGTTTAACACTAGACGCATATATCAATTCATATTATCAAGTTGTGAGGAGAAAATGTATGTGTTTATTTCACCGAAAATCATTTTGTGGTTGTCTCTTGAATTTAGACTGTTCTGTGACAGTCGGTGTTTACTTCCCAACTAAAACTCATATCGATTACGTTGATTTGTGGACGGCTAGTCAACAAATTCAATCACTGACACCACTGAGTAGCTTTGAGAAATCGCGTTTGTAACTATGCGTCGCCGTGGAAATCCGAGGAGGTGTATTTCTCATGTTGGCATGTGTATGTAGATCTAATCGCCTGATTGGAATAACTCGCAATTCATTATCGTACAATAGGGCAGGAAACTGGCGCTTCGACATGCGTGACAGTGTTCCAGTGCTTTCAGGAAGCTTGATAGTATGTTGTATACATGCATATATCACACATTGAGATGAGTTGACTATCATTATGACAGTAGTGTTAATGGGGCTGAATGACCTGAACACTAGATACTAAAAACCAGAAGATTGTGCGAGAAATATTTAAATTTGTGGGGAGGTGTATCAATAATGCATGGAAGACAGTCACACTTCACGAACAACTAGATAGACAGACACAAAAAGCCTGATTTCAGGTTACCCACAGGTCTTCATTTGGTCTGCCAGAACTTTCCGTCAAGCATCGAATAATTCACATACCTCATACTTATTTTCACCCGCTTGTTTATTTTAGTTTCCGTAATTGAACTAGAGACATTCATGGATCCCCAGAATGCGGAGGAAACAATAAAACGTGGTGAGTAATTCTATCAAGCATCTACATGTTTGAGCATAAGTATCAGCCAAAAATATGTGGTCAGGTATATTTTCGTTCCATAGATGCTGTTATATTTGATGCATTTCGTAGACATGAATTATTCTCATGAATCAAGAATGCAGACTTGTGGTCCCTTTCAGGGTGACCAGGTATCTCGTTAGATTGTCATCATGTGTCGATGATCGATGTATGATAACGTCCATGGCGCCAGAACAACACTGACTGATTCTATCATTTACAAGAACGTTTATCTAGAGTGCGGCACGAAGCATTTTGCATCCTCACGGACTCACTTTACTTTCCATACTGCTGCGTGAATTATCATTGCTGTTTGTTGACGTGAAGCACATCACTGAGACACATGGACTCACTTGTGGATGTAGTGGAACATAGGAAGTCAGCTGCATGCACATCTCCATACCATTCTGTTCTCTGCAGTTAGTTGTAGATGGCTCCACACCTACACATACGTCTCCATCTCTTGTCCACACAATATCCCTCATATCACCATCCTACCATCGCTCAGCTCTTCACTTCTCACTCAGGTTCCACTGAACACACTGATGTATGATATCCACCATCCGTCTCCGCGAGTCATACACAATCCTACTTCATTTCCATTGGAATATTTGCTGGGGAGTTGGTTCATGATTGGTTTGTCGACAGACTTGCTTGTTGCTAACGGTTTCTGGCCACATTGTCCTCAGTGCTGCGAAGTCAAAGTCAGGTGTTGACAAGAGTCTGCAGGAGCATCTTGTAAATGATTTTGTCAACATGACAAGCCTGTGAATCATGTAGAAGCATTGATTTGACGTCAGTGTTGATGATCCGGATCTCGTTCCTTGTACTGGCTGAAATAAAATCACCTACTGACTTCAAAGAGGTCATCTTCTGTCTTGCTTTCCAATCTCAGCCAACTCTGATATCCTCACCCTTGCCACTACGTTTAGTTGAGACGAAGCTGCCTGGATAAGTAGTAGAAATGACTTCGTTAACATTTCTGACGTTTTTGTTGGTTGGTGCTTGTTATTCTTGTTGTCGGTTGATTGTTCACTTGGTTGGTTGGTTATTTGTTCTCATCACCTTCATTCTCTCTATGCTCACTTGAGGAAGTATCTTTGCTGACTGCTTCTCCTGTCAACGTGTTCATCTCCAGTCGATCACAACCAGGAATATCATTGGCGATAGTAGATAGCCTTATCTCTCACTTGCCTTAACTTCAATCTCTTTGCTAAGTTCTCCTCTGTGGACCACGTCGCATGTTCAATATTTCCGTAGCTGTTCAAGGAACTGCACTCCGTCTTTTCTATGCTGTCAATGCTGTCGAAGGCATTTTCAAATTTGATGAAGATATTAAATAACAATCCCATACCCTCTTCGATGATGAGGCATAGCGTTGAGGTTTCATCTGCACATGAGTTGCTTTTCCTGAATCAAGCTTCATCTTGAGGCCGTTTCGCATTCAAAGATTCGCTTAGTCTCTCCAGTATAACACAACGTAATATTTTGGTTTGATTGAGCATGAGCGAGATTTCCATCTAGTAGATGCAGAGGTAGAACTCGCGCGTTTTAAGTAGTTTAATAGGGTACCGTATCCTTCTGACCACTGTGTGACGCTTCTTCGGTCGAAAACTTCGGCACCAGTGGCGTGCGTATATCAGATGAGGTACTTCTGAAGGAGTTACATATGGTTCTCTCGACCCTCCTCTGATTTCCAGTGACTTCATGGTGATGTGGCTGCTGTTGTTGGTATTTCTGGATGATTTGCCAGTGGTGGTCTGTTAAAGAGTCAATATTCTTTCTCCACATTGCTAACAATCTTCCCTTCACCATGCATCATTGGCTTCATCTATGTTGATCTCTTCTAAGATACCGTTATGTTGAACGGATATAGCGTTCCAAAGTCTCGCTTCCTGAGACCTATTCTGCTTCAGTTGACAATATGCTGCGATTGATCCTCATCTTTATTTTGTGTTCAGCAGGCTGCGCTATCATATTCCTGAGATTGAGATGAAGCTAATCTCAAATTGAGTGTGTCCATCTGCTGAAACCTGTGTCACTCTGTTCATGTACTCGAGAACTGAGTGAAAGTACGGAAGAATGTAGAGGGTTCACCGTCCTCATGCTCTTCTTCGACAGCCCATAGACATATCATGGGTCGCCTTCTCGTTTCGCTTGTTCCCGTTTTTTTGTTATGACCTTTCTATTTGAGGTCATGTACACTACTCATTGCAGCTGTGTGTGTAATTCTCCACTTCCCTCTCGGTCGTCGTCGCTTGTAGGAGCGCATCACTAGAATCAAGTTCGTTTTATTTGTGCCTAGGTTATGTGTGTGTGTGTTGCGCACGTGTGAGTGGATAAACCCGAATTTGACTTGAACTTCAGAACGAGAAAACAATGTGGATGGTCTCTGTCGGGAGAAAGTCGGACACTGAAATGTTACCACAGTCTGAAAAGGGAAATCATTGCACCCAGACATTGTTAAGAGACAATACATTGTGCAGCACGATTACAAGAAATCACAGGGGTGAATATATACGCAGCTCCATGTTTTTTCTTGACCACAAAAGTTGAAATGAATCACTGGAAAATGAACAGACGAAGTATTAGGTGTGTGAGTAGAACGACGTTTGAATTTATCAATTGTGAGGTGGATATGCGTTGGTTAACAAAACTTTTGGATCATTCTACTCAACCTCAAATATTCTAGCGCCTACTTCTCGAGTAGTTCACACAGTAGCCAGTCTTCCCGTGATTAGCGTATTCCCTGAGTATTACATTGATTTGATGAGTAATTATTATTCCACCATCATCAATCAGCCGATACTCAAACACGCAAGACTTCCCTCATCTAGAAGTGATAAACGACTGATCGCAGGTAGGAAGTCTCATCTACTTGTCATTTTGAAGCTGAATAACGAAGTGATAAACTAGATGGACAAAAGTGTGCTGTTGACTGTTCAGGGTTACTCACAGTGCACAACACACAAATGATCAATCCTTTCACAGAAGTCTACAAACAATAAATGTTTTTCTCAAACTCCTTCAGCGTGCAGGAGGAGTGAACGACTAGAAAGCGTTTGGTAGATTTGAACAAAGGAGAATGCAGAATTGCGAAGATGAGTGGGGAATGGAAAATAAGAAGTATAAACACAGCATCATTTCGCCAGGCGAAATTCTCTCAACAAATAACCTGCTTCAACTAATTTTGCTGCATGCACTCATTTTGTGTTTGTCCACTACATACAGAAATCCTCAGACTTGAACACTTGTATCAAAGTAAATGGGCGAAGGAATTTCTTGAGGGTAAGTTCTATCGTACGTGCTCTTGATTCTATGATGTTCGTGAATCGAACTGTGTGTTGAATAAATGCCTAAATATTCAGTGAAGTAAAACGTGGTGAATAGTGATCTGAAATGCATTGCAGTGTCATTCTAGGTTACCAAGGAATTCAACTACTGCACAAAGAAATCAACAAAAGCAGTATTTCAGAGATGTATCGGTAGGTTTCAATAGCACAGAAGATTCTCCCAGCAAATATTCATCATGGCTTTATGGAGAAACCTCGAGTTGAGGAATGCACTTCATATACTCATTTTGCAAAGTACTCCAGTAGGCATCTCTCCAATACTCATAGCATTAAGTACTGAATCGCAACATAAACTGTGACTACATTTGGCCATCTGCAGAATGAATACCGTTGATTCACCGGCCAGTACTCTTTCGAATACAGAAACAGTATCTTCTGACCGATAAGAAATTTAACGCATCAAACAAGTCATCATGCAACTCAATTTGAAAACCAAGAGCTTCTGTGCTATGCTTTGCTCTGTGTTGCCGTTGGTTTAACTCTTCACAAACCATCAGTCTGCATTCCACATATTTTTTCACTGTCTCCTTCCTACCGTGTTTCCGAGAACAAGTCAATCATTTCCCGAAATTGTCTACACTTTTACAGCCATCAATGCAGCAGATAAGAACCTCGTGAATGTTTATACTGGTAGGTTATTTCATTCTAAAATCATAACCAGAGCGCATGTGACAAAATCGTTTAACATCTGAAGAAAAAACCCACCTCGTTATTCTTTTTGCAACGATCGTCGGCTTACCATTATTTTGTATGACAGATGTCACTGGAGATGTTCACAGTTATTTGTATTTGACAAAGCTAACCAGTGAAGTCGTTACTGCTAGGCTGTACGAATGCAACTTTATCTGTTGAGTGCAGCACTGTCAAACTTATCATCAATTCAATCACGACTGCCATGGTATTCAGTAGCGAAACAGTTCCCTCTATCATCCACTTTCTTCACAATGTCCTCTTCAATATTATCTTTTCTAGTACCTACATGACAAAATGAAACAGCACGCATCCCTGATAACATTCCGAATATAATTTTCATCCATAAATAGCTCAAATTCATTTAAATGACTTGAAAACTTCGATTATGTGCTTTTTGTTTATTCCATCAAATGTAGAATGGTTGAATAAATCCGCGGTTATTCAGTTGCATTGTGAAATTATCACTGTTAATCGTTCTGTGCCTTTCTGGGTGAGGCATGGAGCTTCTCACTCCCTAATATCTGCCAAGTGATTCACTTTAGAATAATACCATGGGAAAACAGAGGGTGATAGTAGATGGCCTTGTCTTAACTTCAAGAGATTCAATGAACCTTCTGATGTGAGTCATTTCCCACGAGGCATAATCATATGCCTGTTGAATGAGATGTATCAGGTTATGTGTCACTCAGAATTGATGGAAAAGCAAACGAATTACTTCACAGTCGACGTTGCGAGAGTCTCTCTAAAGTTGATGAGGATGAGATAGAGACTTGATTGCCACCATGGCCTCTGTTTGATGATGATTCGTATTTGTGCGATCCCATCCATGCGGAGTGTGTTTTCACTCAACCCGAACCGATTCGGTTAACAACATTCATCCACGATATCTGTTGACAGTGATGTACCTTACTCTTTTATTTAGAAATGACTTTCACAGGATGACGAAGATTTATTATTCTTCGAAACGTCATGTGGTTATCAGCGAACTTAATTCACACTTTCATGCTAACACGGTGTACAAATACACACTGTCGATTGTTGCCTATTCGGGGAATTAAACATGCACCAATCAATACTTCCTTTCTTTGTAGATGAATACAAGAAGGCATTGGAAGAAGACAATGCTTTTCAGTACAAACTCCATGGTATGATTGATTTTTCTTAACTGGAAGTTGTAGTACTTGCTAATCTGAAATTCACTGGTCCATTGAAATTAAGTGACCGATTCTGTGAAGAGTGTACACAACATTTTGAACTGGTGTTTTGTGTGAAGTCATCTTTTCAATCTATCATCTTGTTTGTTTTCCACCCATATCAATCACACTTCTCGCCCAAAATATTGTCGAGAGACATTCCGTGAGGCTAAATCAGATCATCGTTGGGAGATTTCTCTCCGAAGTAGATCGCCATCTAATTTGTTCCTTGTGTGGAATTGATACTGAGATCCACTGTTGCAACGAATAACATTCCAGTGATGTTCAGAACATTTCCAGTTTCTTTGTTCAGTGATTGGTGACGTAATAATTTCAATTGGTGATAATCTTCGTAGTTCGCACTGTATATGGTTAAATTGCTTCCTACACTTGCACGGAAAACTAATCACGTTCGCGGTACATTATACACAACTGAGTTGGATACATTGGTTGGTACTTGACAATATGATGAGATTTATTGGGTGCCTGAACCTGAGTCATGCTAAAACATCCAGATAGGATGGCACTGTCATCATGTCGGAGGAATACTCAACAACTCAACTGGTCATGTAGTCTACATCTTACAAACCTTATGAGTAACAATTATGCCTAATGAATCCGCATTTATTCCTTCAGCCCATCGGGGATCATACAATGAATTGAAAACGCATATTTCAAGTAAATGGGAACACCGGAAAAATCTCGATATTGCTGAAGGTAATATTTTTATGGTTGCATTATGTGAAAAGGCAGTCGGTTATTTGATACTTTGTAAGGAAGTGAATATTCTTATTCTGTAATCAGGCGAAGTGCGTAAAGTGACAGAAAACTTCTCATTTTGCACAATATTTACCACAACACATCGAAGCGTGGACATTTCCTTTTGAACATCACACTGACCAGTATGAATTCTGACTAAGCGAGAAAGAAAACGCGACACATCAATTACTGAAAGTCCTAAATAAAATCCCGCATGAGTTAGCGGTGATGAAGGTGAAAACAACATTGTGTAGGAGTGTTCTGCAGATTTCAATGGCTCTCCTCACTAATTCATGTTCATCATCGTGTGTATTTCAAAGCCTCTTCATTTTCAGAGAATTTCTCATCAGCATTGATATTCACATTTGATATCTATGAGCAGACGCGCTATCCAGATAACACACAGCAGTGAAAACAATACGGGATAGTAGGCAAACACCATGAATGTTTTCACTTGGTCATATTTTGTCACTTGAATCAGTCGAAAACCGACTAACTGCCATCGATATGGATTTGACAGAACACGCACTCAATGGTCGTACAGCATATTCTAATAAAGCTTTATATTTTGTGAGCAAGTAAACTGTAGCGGTGTCCTTTGAATTGATGTCAGTTGAATCCATCTTTGAATAAATTAATTGTGATGATGTCGGATTCGTTGTATATCCGGAAGTTGAATGATATTGTGACGTATCAATTTTAGGTAAATTTTTTGCGAAGATATCAGGAAATTTGCAGAGAGAAAAAGGTTGGTTTTCTTTCACTTTGAAATTCATCGCCGTTAATTGTAAGCTGTTCTAAAATATTCCTCTTGACTTTGTGAATAGTGGTCCCTCCTTGATTTCATTATTACGCATGACCACAACTCCGCTGAACTAGAGTGACATGTATTCATAATAAAGGATATCTGAATATCCTTCAATGACGATCAGAAACGGTATCTAGATGGCGGATCGACTCTATTCTCGAATTGTTTGAATATATGAGAAAGCTGTTTCCACGCATCCGAACACTTCGGTTGTTGTCCGAATTCAGTGGACATCAGCTTTTCAGTACTGACAAATCACACACCCACATCACAGTTTTGAAATCTAGGCAAGTGGATTTCGATCGCAACTCTATCCACTGACGAAACATCTTGACGAGCAACAGGTGATGCGAATTTCCGCTATCAACAATGGTGCTCACACTTCCTCACCAACAAGTATGAAGTGGATTAAATGGTTTGATTATTATTGGGTGTGTATTGTGTGTGTGTGCACGCGTCAACATCCATGCCTCACATACTGTGGTCTACGTAGAAATAATGGAGAGAAGCACATTCACGCAATGAAGTATCAGTCCATAACATGCAAACACTCCTCAGAATGGAACATGCCCTGACAGATGCAAAATGTAAGATGAGAAACAATTGACACAACTAATCAATCATTCAATGATATGACAGATTATTGGTCAACAGTTTAATATTCGGTGGAAACGGTGATTTTCTCTAAAATGGACAAAGTTGAGTAATACTAAAGTGAAAATGGAAGATGCAGACAACTTCAGCATAAATGCAGTTTACACCTGGTCAGGGCATTTGTCTTACTGATGATATCAGTAAACCACTCGAAGTGTCGTGTGATAAGTTGGACATTATCAACAGGAAAACCGTGTATTATGACAGTCAGTAGCCATTGCGTGTATCTGATTACTTCACGTTGGGCAATAAATACATCATGAAACATTCCATACTTTCTGATACTGTGAAATTATAGTTCAAATTGAAATGACACAGAAGGATTTGATGGAGGCGAAGGAAGCAGTGAAGACATTCAAAGGTAAAATGATTCTCTAAATTTGTATTGAACACTTTGTTCACGAACAGTAAACTGTTGGTAAGAAAATTCACTCGGCATTGTGATTATAGTTGGTCGTTCAGTGTCCCAATCACTCATCAGTAACACGAATATTAACCAGGTTGTATTCGCTATCTTTCTCATCATCAGCACATTAACTTCTCAGAAATATCAAGAAGGTCAGATTTACCATCAGTGAATTGGCACTCCTTTCATGAGGATTGGAACAAACTTTTCAAAATGAATACAGTCACTGTGTAGTGAAGAGCAGCCTGTTGAGAAATAATCAAATTATTATGACACGCTTCTGGATCGTCAATATATTGTATTCAGTATGATGGTGAACATGACATTGAAGTTTCTTGATTGACGATTTGAATATCATTCTACATTTCTTGTTTTCTTAGCTCACATTAAGCAGCTGGAAACGGCAGCAGTCAAAGCGACTGTAGCATACAGAAAATCGCCAGGTGAGTGAATATATTCATCAATTCGATTGATGTACATTGAGGTGCAATGAAGCTATGGACAGGCCTAATACGATTCACCATTGGATGAAGGTGGTGATGATTAAATATGAGACGTAGACGTGTTTAATTCACCGTCAAAGCACACACACCTGATGGACATAACTTTTGGACAACTTTTTAATAATGTCCACTCAACTGTACGAATGACTTGAAACGGAGATCGAATTGCATTTTTCTTCACATTGTGGAGCAGACAGAAGGGTGGACCAAGCGTGTAGACATTATGGTGAAGATGACATTGACTGCAGAATTGAAACATTTTGCACTCTGGTAGAATATCATTCGATATTAGATTAGTTTAGTGAATGGATCTGACAGTGACACAGTGCCATTGATTACTGGATGACGGTTCTGCGACAACTTATCTCTAATAATCGTGTCACAAGATTGTATTATCATTACGCAGGTTATTTGCAAAGAATGAACAAGGAGACATCCACAGGTGGTAAGCGGACACTTTTAGCCTGCTTAAAATATTTTGAAGTTAAAAATGTATTCCTTACTAAGCTATGTGTGACAGCAAGAAAATTCCGGAGTTCACGTTTATTAGAGAATGAGATCATGATAAATGCTTCACACTGACTTGCTTGATGTCACAAACAACGGGGACTTCTATCGTCAACAAGCAACCATCGAATCAGCAGAATATTACATGATATTTTGAATAGAGAGTAAGTCGTTTTTGAAGCTGTCAAGTTTGAAGATCATGTCTAGGTAAGGATGACAAGTTGTAGTAGAACTAAGTCACTGATGGAAAATGGAATTCGTACATATTACTCACACATGTCTCATTTCACATTGATCGTACTTGTGTTGAGTACTTCCTTTCATCACTATCAAGTACGTGTGTCACTATCAGTGTAACAACAAGTCGTTATTCCTTTCAGACTCACCAAACGATGTTGAAATTACGAAAGTGTATCGGAAGGCTCGCACTGATTTAACCATCGCTACAGGTAATTTTGCACAGTTATTTGAGTTGATCACATGTGATATTTCATAGTTCTACTGATGAATGCATTTCTCAATGAATTTCATTCTCGTAAGAAACAAAAGTAACCTACATTGACAGTGACGTATACATCATCATGTCAATGGATCCACTTATACCGAATCAGGCTATATCATTGACAAAATTAGCACAGCTGCTTGTCAAACTCAAACTGGAATCTACATACTGTTAGACAGTCGGTGACGATTAAGCCGGAAACATCCATGCACAGGAGGCGACTTCATCAATGCACTATGCAACAAACTGAAAGAAGTTTATCATCTATGAACAATAACAGTCACATAGAAACTACGTGACATAATCGAGCATAATGAGATTTGATCTACACACTTCACAGTGTTGCAGTATAACATTGAAAATGCTAGTGATGCTTCACTGACAATGTGTTCACTGTTTCAGAGGACCTGAAGGACAAAATAAAACTATTGGAAATAAAGAGGATTGAATATTCAAAGTGTAAGTTGAAATATCGAAATGATTTACAACTGGCTAGTTCAAACCCCGGAAGATAGAATAAACTGGCTCCTGGCTGAAATGAAAGAAGATGCCACGCAGTATTATTGAAGTAAGTAAGTGAGTAAGTAGGTAAGTTCCTACTTAGATGCTGAGCGTATTTGAAATTTCTAATCCACTGCACCACTGAATATGAACTTGAAAATGAATTTCGCCGTTAACCGAAATCACCTAGATGAATCCTTGAGAAACAAGTAACACTGAACTTCTGTTCGCTCGCATTTCTTGATCACTCATCAGTCGACAAGCACATCATGATTGATTCACTTGCTGACTGGTCACGTGATCACAGTCGGAAGTTGTCGTCAGTCAATATCACGGCTGTAACAACTGTTCAGAACATCGGAAATTCAAGCGATGCTTGGCAAAGTTGATTTCGTGTGAGGTGAATCGTAACTTTCAATCAATCTGATAATCAACACACCCTGATCTGTGTTTCAACCTTCACTGGAAGAATCGCATTAAGATTAGTGTCATTGTCAGCACCTTGGATGAGGATTGTCGACAGTGATTTCTGTTATACAAGATACGTGTCTGTCTATTTCCAACTCAGTTCAACTTTGCTTCTGGTTTCATTTTGTTTCAGCTGCAGAAATAGGAAATCGGTTCGAACAGAACTCAAACATTATTGGTGGTGGGAATACATCGTCTGTTTGTCTCTTTTTTGCTTAATTAACTAAATACAACATTTTTCCTCCTAAGATCTTGTTTCGATTGGCGTTCTTGCTGTCATTCTAGTAGAGTGAGTTGAGTGAGAAGGAAGTAGCCAATTACATTGAATAGGCTGACGAGTTATGCACGTCTCGAGGATTATTGTTTCGACTCACGATGTTTACCGAGTAACCGAGATGAAATGTTGATGGGGAGAAAAGTCCTAATATGCCAAAGACTACAAAGCACGTGTACACTCAGATAGAAATCACATCACCTCGACATTTTGATTTTGATTGCCACATGCATTTTCGTGAAATACAATAGCAAAGGCGACTTGTGGATATCCAGCCACGTGGAGATTGATAACACGTGGCTTGGTTGTCTATAGGTTATTTTGTTAACCACAGT